ATCCAGTTTCATTTTTTTTGTCTTTGTGTGAGTTTAGTATACGGGAGGTGGTAGCGGAGGCGGGATATCAGTAAGGCGTCACAGAGCCTCACCATACTCCTTTCTTTAAGTCCGCGAGAGGAAGTGGAGACGCGGCGGAGCAGGTTCGGAACCTGTTCGCCTTGTTTGAGGAGACGATTAACCGTGGTTGAGCCACCGCCATCACGCTGGATGTGGAGTCTAACATAATAGCCATAACTACCAAAAACCCGCTAATCACGAGCAAACTATTGAGCATCGGCCAAATCGAAATGGGCCAAAAAAGCTATGAGGTCGCACTCTATATGGCAATTTCAAGCGATGAAGTACGAGGGGTGATCTATTTCCATGGAAAAGATGTGAACGAGACACCGGAATCGCTCATGGAGGGACTAGACTGCCGCACTCACAATTTGATCGCAGCCAGACCCATTGGTAAAACCGGAAAGACAACTCTCGTCACCTTTGAAGGAAAAGTTATCCCGAGGAAGGTCCGTTTTCTTTGCGAAGTGCTCAGTGTGGCAGAGTACAGGCCCCGGCCTCTGGTATGTTTTACATGCCACAAGCTCGGGCATAAGTCGGACGTGTGCCCCAGCATTACCAACAAGTGCGACAGATGTGGACACACACATGGGGACATCGATGACTGTGAACTCGAGCCTAAGTGTAACAACTGCGGTGGCCCACACATCGCTACAAGTAATGATTGCCCAAAGCGACAGATTCCGCCTAGAAGAAACTGAACAGGAGGCTTCCTCCAAACCAACGCCTCCCAGGGAATGCAACCAAAACGGAGGAATCATGGCCTCCCCACCAGAAAACGCATGGAGTACCTCTTTCAGGTTTGCCACAGGTACGCCACCGATGGTCTTTGGACGCACCCAAGAGGGGACCCCATCATCCATGAGGCATACGACGGTTTCTCTCGGGAACTTCCCTGGAGACGTCGGCTGGATGAAGTTCAACGAAGCCCGAATGACACACCTAGAGTCTAGGCACGACGCCATGGAAAGGGTCATTTACGAGATTAAGAGCATGTTGGCTAACATCATCAACCGATTCAATAGATAATCCTCTTCCTCTATCCACTGAAAGTTCCCCCCCCCCCCCAAAAAAAAAAAAAATACAGAAACGACGCCCTTTCTGGATCTTTTATTAGAACTGCCGAGGTTTCCGTACCAAGGCAGCTGAGTTAAAGCTGCGTATACCAGTGTTGCGGAATGGGCACCCCCATTCCGTTTCAATTCCATTCCGGGGAATTAGAGTTTTCGATAATTCCATTCCTTTCAACTCCTAGGAGTGGGGACACTGGGCCCATTCCCACTCCTGGAATGGCTGAGTCGCTCCATTCTATTCCTCCAATTCCTAAACGTTAATAGTGTCACTTGACAGCTGCTATACGTTGCAGGGTGAGGCAGAAATGTTCAGAAATGTATTTGGAAATACAAATGCTGGGATAGATGAAAATAGTTGCTAAGATACTGATACTCAAGTCTCAAACATTACTATAAGAATGTATCGTGATACGTATCGGACATACATTTTAAAAAGAGAGCAAAAAGTCTTTGGAAATACAAATGCAAGAATACATTTTAGGGAGGGCAGAAATATAAATACTGATAATACAATAGATTTTTCAAATTTCTTTGAGACACCAACTGAGATGAGGCTTTTTTTTTTTCTTTTTGGTCCCGAAATTACTTTTTGCAGGCTTGGCACTTCGCCTTGAAGGTAGTGGTTCCGGACGAAGAATCCTAAATGGGTTTAAAAAACGTTCCATCAAGGATTGACCGCGGTCCCTTCCCTAGCATCCTGTCCGACTGACCAGTGATGCGAAAAGACTTCGACCTCTAAAATAAATTCCATCAAAACATCACCACTTCCCTGTCCAATAAGGGCGCCCCTGTCAGCATTGATCACATGACGTCACGGTGGGATGAACTAGTATTCTTGAATCTGTATGTGTGTCCTTGAACGTGAAACTTTACCCACGCTGCTGTATAAAAGGACAATACATACTTTCGTTGTAGCTGACCTCGTTGAAGACCATGCAGGCAGGTGCATTTAGAATTTTCGAGAAAAGTGGACCACCTGAAGCGTCCTGAAGCACATGTCTTACCTTCTGTTACAGTTGAAAAATCGATACGGTAGCATCCCTATTGTGACGGTTCTTCCTGCCGACTCTCCGTCTCCAACGCATGATTGGTAGTCTTCAAGTTTCGCCTAGCATCATTCAAACAGAGACCTCGTGGACTGCGACCTAAAATGGCCGGCACAGGTGCGAGCTCTCCGAGAAACAGCGCGCTCGAGACGACTCTAAATTGTACGAAGTCTGGGTCCGCACAGCGAGGCCACGTCTGGCCTTCTTCCTGGGTATCGGATGACCAGAGCAGCAGGTCTCGTTCACGTCGGCTTATGACGTACCAGCCGTGCAATATTACAGGCGCAGACGCATTCGGATATCTGTTGAACTTCACTGGTGAAAGGCGCCACCGCCCCCTCCCCCTCCCCTCCCCCCTCTGTTCTTTGCTTTGACACTTGTTTTTTGTATTGCATTTTTTTCTTTTGCGCTAAGTCTGCTAGGGCCTTGCGCGGGTTCGCAGTTTTTCGCTCATTTTATTTCTGAACAACCGACTCCCTGACTGGCTCGGTATAGCTGAACGTAAAAAATATATAAATAAATAAATAAAATATAAATAACCTGGCCCATTCCATTCCCATTCGATTCCGGGCAAAAGGCACCTAATTCCATTCCCATTCCATTCCCCTGAACGTTACCGCCATTCCATTCCCATTCCATTCCGGGGTCGCGAAAATGCGGAATGATTCCGGAATCATTCCAACTCCGGAGTGGCAACTCCGCAACACTGGCGTATACAGCGTATGAAAGACGATGCGCCCGTTGTTATACTCCTGCAAGAGACTGTAGGGACAACGCCCATGATTCCTTGATACTTCACCCTCACCGCACCCTCCAGTCCACGATCCAGCAATACGATACACCCTGGAGCTCGACAGATCCACGTGGCAGATACACTGCAATTCATTCAACGAAAGGACAGGGCTCAAAAAGGTCTGGTGAACCTGCTAGGGCATGGCCGCGAACACTAAGAACAAGAACACGGGCAGCAACCTGGCCCTGCATCTGCACATTTCCGAGGATGAGTTGGCATCACTGGCAGCAGAAACATTCTTCCCTCAACCTTCTACTCCATCGCCTTCTGACTGCTACCAGATCCAAACAGAAGATGCGCATCTTCCCGAAGACCCCCTCTTCACTATGGGGGAGCTGGTGTTTGCAATGAACACGGCCAAGTGCAATACCGCCCCTGGCCCAGATGGCACAGTCATTAATGCTTTACGGAATCTCCCGGAGGTCGATATGCAGGATCTGCTGAACTGGTTTAATGACGAGTGTCAAACAGGGCTGCTCCCCAACGATTGGAAGCTCTCGACCTTCATACCCATCTCCAAACCGGGCAAGTCGCTTACTAACATCAACAACCTGCGTCCCATCTCCTTAACATCTAACCTTTGCAAGGTGATGGAACGCATGGTCCTCACTTGAATCCCGTGGATTTTAGAGACTCACAACAATTTGTATCCTTTGCAAGCCGGATTCCGCCCTAACCTCTCCACGCAAGATAGTACGCCCATACATCACGATATTATCGCACCCCTTACTTCCGGTCCCCGCACGATCGTTGCGGCCGACGTGCAGAAAGCATTCGACACAATTCCTCATTACACCGCAATCCGTGCCGCTGAATGCTTCGGCTTCACCAGTCGCATTCTAAATTTCGTGAAGTCATTCTTAAAAGACCGTCAATTTTAAGTCATGGTAAAGGCGCCCCCTCGTGCCCATTACACACAATGCAACGGGAGTGCCTCAAGGGACAGTTCTCCCGCCCCCCCCCCCCCCTCCCTATTTAATATTTCTACGGCCGAGCTCGCCTTCCGACTTGATGAAGTGGAAGGCCTCGGTTTTACAATATACGCTGACGATATCACTTTCTGGACGGCCGGCGCCCTACTAGCTGCACAGCAAAATACACTTCAACATGCCCTGGACGTGACCTCACAGTTCCTCGAGGACAACGGCGAGGCCCTGTCCCCCACTAAAAGTAATTACATGATCGTAGCCATCCGCCAAGGGCGCTGTAAAAACTACAGCGACATATTCAAGCTGTATCTTCACGGAATTACACTCGAACAGCAGCCTAGCCTCACCATCCTGGGCCTCACTATCGACCAAAATGGAAAGGCCCAGAGCCCCGTGGCCCAACCCCACCCTGCAGCACAGCTCAGCTCGATTAGAGAGATTGCCGCTGAAATGCTCATCAGCCAAAAACTCCGTCTTCAGGGAACCCAGGCCGGCCGGCTTATACTGAGTCACCTGGGAGACCCCTTATTCCAGGTCCCCAGCAACGCCCCTCCTAACCCTCCGTGGGAGCACACGCTACTTGTAAAACTAAAACCACACCCACAGTCACACGGCCCGCGTCCTGTCAATCGCAAGAGGGCGGCTGCAACTTGGCTCATCAAAGCCATTACCATACTGGAAGCGGACAAACAAAATTTACTAATTTACACTGATGCTGCCCGGGCGGATGACGGAGAAACCATTGTTGCCTATTACTCACACACCACCCGGCAAACATGCAACAAAGTTGCACTGTACACCCCAAGTTCCAAAACTGCAGAGCTCCAAGAAATTCTGTGGCCCAGTCAGTAACACTCACATCGCCACGGTAGGCGTATGCACGTATTCACAGACTCACAGGAGGCAGTGCGAGAGTGCACCCGCCTGACCAGCCGCGATGAAACCATCCGGGAGCTCCGATCCGTATGTAAATTATTCCGCTCCAATGGGGGCCAAATAACAATAGCTTAGATACCCGGCCACGCCGGCATTCCGGGTAACGAGAAGGCGAACACAGCCGCGAAGGGATTTATTACTTACCTTTAAACCCTCACAAGGCTGTGTCCGCCCCTCCGATACCAATACCGCCCAGGTTCCCACGGATCCATTGGAGCGCAGGGAAGCCGCTCGTCTCGCCAGAAAGGCGCGATTTGCTGCTGTCCTTCCTCAGGAGGAATGTCCCCTCCCGTCTGGATACACTAGATGGGAGAGAATTTGCCTCCGTAAGCTTCATACACAAACGGCACTGACACCAGTGTGGAGGGCCAGATTTCACCGCCCTATTTCCGAGGATCATGTTGGCCTTAGCCCACTCTGCCCCCAGTGCAAAAGTGCCGGCGAAGTGCCCTCACATTTTATGGGACTGTCGTAAGCACTCCATGCACAGGGCTACACACCTCAGTCTTATCCCGGCGAGCAATCGCCCCACAAGTTACGTGGAATGGACATGCCCACACTCCACAAAGTCACCAGACCACCGGAAACACATTCTCGACTCGCTGCTTGCCTTTGTGCGCAGAGCGAGCCTTCTCCTGTACATATACTTGTCTTATCGTGGTTTATTAAAATGAACATAATCTTCTTGAAATGTACCTTCGGTTAAAAATTAAATGCGGACAATAAAACCAAAACTTAAAGTAAAAAAAAAAAAAAGAAGAAAAACTCGTCTGCATAACGGTGGCGCTTTTGCTGCCAACGGATTTCGTCTGCGTGTCGTCTGCTTTCTTTCGCTGGTTGGCTGCACCTTCAGACGCTGCTCCCGACGCCATCTATCAATAGGAACGCCAAACACACCCCGTTACTGGACTTGGTCATCTGGGTCACCGCCCGCCGTAGACCTTGGCAAGTTTCTTGGCCCTATTTTTTTACTAAAAAAGAACTACGCTCTGTAATTTTACAAGAAAAAACCGACCTGTATAATTCACCATTGACAAAAACTTTGGAAGGCTACGTGCAGGCGCCGAATTTTACGGTTCATTTTAGATCGAGCCTGGTGACTGGACTACCCTATATGTTACCTTATCAAGACGTACACGTTTCAAACGCCAAAAGCATCGCTTCTTCCTCCGACACCCAAATCTTGTAGGAACTACTTCGCGCGATGTATGAACATTAAGCAAAACTTCATATTTTCTTCAGGTGAAAACGGGTATAGCTTCTTTGCCCGAGGAAATGACTGTGCTCGCACGAAAACTTGTTCTTGCATTTTCATACTGGAAACCCCTGAACGTGCCGTTTCCGAAAATGGTTTATTGTGATCGTACCGAGCGTTGATTTCACAATCCTCTGCTGACAAAATTTAAGTCTCTTGATAAAATACACGCTTTCAAGTACCGCCAACCACTGTTGTAGGAACGCGCAAGACACGCGCCAGGAGTGGGTGCTCCGCCGCCATTCGCTTCCAAGAGCCGCTCATTTCAGTGCTGCGCCGCCATTTTCTTCCAAGGGTTGCTCGAGACACGGGCCTCGTGCACTGGCCCATTCGACGCTACTTGCAAGACAAACGCATAGACATCGAGACGCAGGGGGGATCGGTGGCCGACATTCCATTTTCGAACGCACGAGCGCACGGAGGTGAAATCATGAGCTCCGAAGGAGCGGCGATAACGGCCCACGCCGACCGCGGTGATACTGCTTTTCTCGGCTCAAGTGAGTACAGGTTTTTGTTGCCCCAGCTTCCATCATGTGATTCAATGAAGAAAGCGGTCGTCCTTCACTGCGACATGGCCGGGAGGCCATACAGGATTGAGGATTTTCGGCAACCACTCGACGAACTGGGGGTCTCCAGGGAGGTAGTTGGAATCGGGGCGTACCAGATGTCCTATGTCTGGCTGCTTGACCTGAAGACCGACGCGGCCAAGCTCAAGCTGGTGAACGCAGGGCGGCTCGCTGTCAAAGGACGCACCTGCATCGTCGTGGCAAGAGGTACGCGTCAAGTTGCACTGGGTGGCGTTTGACGTGCCGAACGACACCATTCGCAAGGCTTTCTCGGAGTACGGCGAGGTGAATGACGTTGCGTCCGATCGCTGGAAGGTGTCGGGCTTCGAAGGAGCCGAGTCTACCACCCGGATAGTGCGGCTGGTACTCCGGGAGGGTGTCAACCTTGACCGCCTCACTCATCAGCTGCGCTTCGGAGGCGGCTTGGTTTTGGTCGTCGTGCCTGGGAGGGCCCCAGTATGCCTCCGGTGCCGTAGGACGGGGCATATCCGTCGAGACTGCCGGGCTCCCAGGTGCTCCGAGTGCCACGCCTATGGCCACGAGCGTGACGACTGTGTCCGCTCCTACGCCCGAGCCGTAAGACGAGGAGTCAACGAAGACCACGTCGACGACATGATGGACGAGGAAGAGGCGGAGAGAGTGGCCGCGCCCGTGAAAACCCCGGCCGAGCAAGCCAAGAGCGACGACGCTTGCGGCACCTCCCCCGAAGTGAGCAGCCCCGTGCTACCGGACAAGCCGTCGACTGCGGCTCCTGCAGATCCACCTGCAGTCGAGCGCTTGACGGTACCTCCAACAGGGAGCGCCGGTGGCGCAGCTGGTGCTTCGCCATTGTCAGACGAGGTCTCCATCACACCAGAGATGGACGTCGAGCTGGGCTCTGCGAAGCGTAGGTTCGAAGACGTCACGGACACGACTGGTCAGGAACTTCGGCTGCGTCAGCTCGAGCGCAGGTGGAGAATGGTGTCGGGCGGGAGCGGAGTGGATGGCCACCAGCGGTCCGGCGCAGTCCGCGGAGGATCACACGACAAACTGTCGCAGTGAAATGCAGTACAGGCGGGTTGGTCCTCACTAACCCATGGTCTCCTTACAAAGTCCTGTCCGAATAGCGACCCTTAATGTCCGAGGCCACTCAGATCGCACGAGGCAGAGGCAACTCTACCGTCTAGCAGTCGAACAGGACCTCGACATCATCGCTGTGCAGGAGACCAAGGTCGAGAGTGAGGACCAGACCAATTTTATGGTTAGAACTTTTACGGCGCGTTACGAAGTGTGTGTTAGTCACGCGGTTGGGTCGTCGGCGGGCTGTATGTTGTTAGTGCGCCAGAGTTTGGGTGCAACAGTCGAGGCGGTGACGAGGTGTGCTTCAGGACGCTTTGTTGTATGCGATTTTTCTCTTTCATCGTATGATTGGAGGGTCATTTGTGTGTACCCCTCCAATAGGGTTGATGAGCGGCGGGTGTTTTTTGATTTCATGCATCAATATTGCAAAAGCGATCGCCTTATTATTTTTCTTGGCGATTTTAATTGCATCTGCTTCCTGGGGACAAGTCCAGCTCAACGCCCTATCGCGATTTAAGCACCGAGAGCCTTCTTAGGTTAATCAACGAGACCGGCTTAGACGACGTTGGGGAATGTTTGAGGAATGGCCGCGAAATTCAGTACACCCATTTCCAAGGGTCGAGTCACGCCCGTCTAGATCGAGCGTACGTTTCTTTAGATTTTATACCATTATGTTTTGAATATTGCCGCGCAGGGTCACGGACTTCTAGAACGTTCTCGTTCATTCTTGCTGCGGACATAACTATCGTTCATCCTTGTTTTTGTTGTTCTAGAAAGTGCTTGTTCAGTCTCGCCCCAGCGCTCGATCCTGTGGTTTCGCCGAATTCGACGCCCGCGACGCTCTGTTATTATTCTTTGTACCCCTTTTATTTTTGGCACAAGTTCGCCACATTAAACGTTTATTTCTTTCTGTTTATTTATTGTTTTTGGTCACCACCCGTGACATTTTGGTGGAGGTGCTGGGTATATCGCATTCTATGCCCATAAAGCGTACCCCTCCGAAGACATCCCGGCCAAGTGAGGTGCTCAGCCCCGGAAGGCTACCCTTCGCAGAGGACGCCGACGGCCGAGCAAGCCGCCATACCAAAGTCCAACTCCCGGGATCCGGACCCCTGCTGCAGAACCCGAAGAAGAACATCCCTACGATGACCACCCCGCCCGTCGTCGTCCTGCCCGTCGCTCCGCGGACGCCTACTCCCTTCCTCGGCGAGACCTACGAGGACGTCGAAGACTGGATCGACCAGTACGAGCGCGTGGCTCGCCACAACGGGTGGAGTGACGAACAGCGCCTGCAGAACCTTTATTTCTCGCTTGAAGGAACTGCAAGGCGCTGGTTCGAAAACCACGAAGCTTCCTTGACTTCGTGGGAGCTTTGCAAGAACGAGCTGACGCGCACGTTCGCCAATCAACACCGAAGAGAGAGGGCCGAAGATTTGCTGCAATCCAGGACCCAGGGCCCCAATGAGAGTGTCACCAGTTTCGTGGAAGACGTCCTGCGCCTGAGCTCCCGCGCCGACCCTCAGGCCAGCGAGGAAAAGAAGCTGCGTATCCTGATGCGCGGCGTGAAGGACGACATTTTCGGTGGGCTCGTACGCAACCCACCGACGACCATTCAAGGATTTGTAACCGAAGCGACGAACATCGAGCGTGCCCTGCAAGCCCGAGCCAGCCACTACCAGAGGCTACCCGGCGTCAGCGCGGTTCCGCCGTCCGCTTGCGACCTTGGGTCTAGCATCCCAAGCATTCGCGAGATCATTCGGGACGTCGTCCGGGAGGAGCTGCGAAAGCTACTACCCGCCGCGGACCGACCAGCTTCGCTCTCCATCGCTGAGGTCGTGCGGGAAGAGGTGCAGAGAGCCATTCAACCAGAGGCTCCCATCAGCGCAGCAGTCTCCGAAGAACCCGCGCTAACTTACGCCGCAGTTTCCCGACGGCCACCGCCTCCTCCTCGCGCCTATGTCGCGCCGCCCCGACGCCAGTCTCCTGCGCCGCAGCACGACCGACGCCACGACGACCAGCCCCAGTACGCCAGCCAGGAGCCCCGGGCACCCCGGAAGACCGATATGTGGCGAACGCCCGACCGACGCCCTCTGTGCTTCCACTGCGGGGAGGCAGACCACACCTACCGCCGATGCCCATACCGTCGACTCGGGCTGCGCGGATTCCACCCAAGCGACCCGCGCCCCCGGTATGGGGAACGCCCTCGGGAGATCGACGAGTACCTGCGACGACCTCAGTCCCCTGAGCCTACGTCCCGCCGAGAGTTCCGGTCGCCGTCGCCACGACGTCCAGCTTCGCCGATGCACCGACCCCGACGTGAAAGCCTGTCGCCCCTCGCTCCTCGCCGGGGAAACTAGGCGCGGCAACCCCTGGAGGTGGAGTTGCCGAAGACGACCGACGCCAAGATCCTCCACGAACGTCG